GTAACTCTAGTACTTCAGAGCAGGATGAGAGATGAGAGCTTCCAAAACTGAAGGGGCCTAAGCAAGTTCTGTTTTAGGAGCTGCTTTTTTCATCTGTAGAGTTCACTTCCTGCTCCACTGCCCATAGTACTCACTGTCTATACACAATCTCTGAGGCAGGAGGTTGGATGGCATATTGGTTGCTTACATTATTGCAAGTATCTTTTCCTTGAGCAGAGGTGATACCTGGACAGTAGGGTGTTTGTTTTCCTCATATGGGGTTTTCTAACCCTCTTAGTGCTGGTGGAGTTGGTCTGTTGGAAGAGATTTAAGACTAGGGGGAGTTATTAATCTTCAAAAGGAGCAATATTGAGATGAAGGATGTTTAGTTACTGTCTAATACCTAATAGCATTAGTTTTCTAAAAACCCTTCAGGAAAGAGAAGGTAGGCACTGCAGTGATGCCATTATGCAGAAGCAGTACTTCAGGGAAATATATGTAGAGATTCATTCATGTATCACTGGGTTTTAAAAAAAACAAACAAAACAGAATTCCTAGATTCCAGAATTGGCTAGCTTGCATTATTTTGCTATTCTGATAAAACACACATTTCGCTCATTGGTATAGTTATCTGACTTTTTCACTGTATATTCATTTTAAATTTAAAATGGCTATTATTTGCCTAGAGATCAGCTATTCTGCTTTGTGTCATGACCTCCCCAGATACCACAGATTTTCTGTAATAGTGCTCCCCCTCAAAAAAGCCCAAACCAACAACCCACATCCTATGCATATCATCTTAGATTTTAAAAAACCCCAACACAACATGGGGAGAGATTACTAATTGCCTGTGTTATTTCCTTTTAAAAGTTATGATGGTCATACCTTAAAGACTTCTAAATTCTAATTAGAGTATTAACATTGACTTTTGAACCAGTGCAGTTGATCTCAGTGTTTTCTTCAGATGTACAAAACTGTTCAAGCACAGTGTAAACCAAATGCTGAGTGAAATGCCCACTTCCTACTGAAGTAAATGCTACAATAGGAAGCATTCAATAAAGTAACTCAACTTACATGAAAGCAATTTAGTTTTACTTATGTCAGTGGGGCTGTCTAGTAACTTATGAGGAGGCTGAACCAGTTTGCAGCCAGAGCATATGAAAATGTAATTTAATGGAAAAATGGGATTTTAGGTATTTTAAAAATTTTAAAGGTAAAGCCAGTTCAGAATATAGGAGGGCCATGAGCAGGACAGCCAGCTCTTTTTTTTCCCTGGTGTTTTACAGAAGGCAGCTTTTACTTTTTTTTTTTTTTTGCCCTTGAGCACCCTTAGCATTTAAGAGAGTTGAGATTAATTTGTTCTAGCTGTGAAAGACTTGCCAAATCAGTCCATCCTGAGAGCATATGTTTTCCCTGCACATCTGCATGGCTCAATGCTTGAAGCAAGAAGCTAGTAATAATCATAATAATACCAGGATTGTCAAGAAAGGAGGATACCAAGAATGACCTGAATGTGGCCTCTGACCTCCCTGGTTGCTGGGGTTGGGCCTTGGAGAGTGCAGACTCCCATCCTCTGGGCAAGTAGCTCTCTGTTCCCCAAATTGTTATCCTTTGATCTCAGTAGTTAAAATTCCATCTGCCCTAGTTAGTTCTTAGGCTGAGACCAGACAAGACTTTAATTCATACAAGACTGATTTCTTCCTGCCTGAGCCTCGAAACCTTTGTGATATAAACTTCTGGACCCTTGAGAGGAGAAATTAATTCATCTGTTCTTTAGAGGGTTATGATACCTGGAAGCAAAATGAAGGATAGCAGCAGTAGAACAGAAAGAATGGAAAACATCCATCTCCAGAGAAGCAAATGACTGATAGAGGACTAGTAGTTATTCCTCAAAGATTATCATCTTCATTTGCCCTGCAGTATATCAACTAACTAAATAAATGCAACAGCCATATCCTGCAGATAATGGCCTGAAGATGAAATCTGCAAGAAGCCATCAGTGTTGTCTAAGATCCTTACCATTTGTTTCAGTTCCATTCAGTACCTGTTATATCTTCACTTTTCAACTTCTGTCCTGCTTTCATGTCTCTTAAAACCTAGCTAATTCCCTGTCCCCGTTTCTTGATCAAGTGTAATTCAGATTCTGAACTAAGAACAAATGGTAGCTTTGATAATAATCTCAGTTGCCTCTAGGTTAGTCTCAAGAATTAGAAATTATATAATATAGTATTATATTGTAATAATTATATTATTTTTAAAATCCAAGCTGAAGCTGCTCAAGCTTTCTTATTTACGCTACTAAATGAAACATGGGCATAAAATCTTTTGTGCAGTTTCCATGTGTGTCAATAAATGTTTGGAGCATGAGTGAGCCTGGTGTATCTTTGGCTTTCACCAATCACAGTGGCAAATAGATCAGTGCAAAGGATAAATACTGTCATCTAGAATTATGATGTACAAGTGGGAATCTAACCTGCATGAGGGCAGAATGCAGGGTTTGTTTTGCAGTGGTGGAGTTCATTTCCATTATCTCAAGATTAACACATTGACAATACTCCTTAAAATAGACTCTAGCATGATACTAAGATCATTTGATAAAAATAGTAAGAGAGGTTTTTATGGTAATTAGGAAGTAATAGATAACATTGTATAATCTAAGGTAGGTTGGGAAGTGAATCTAGAACTAGGGAACTTCTGGGAGAAAGTATTCTGTCTTTGTGACAGACACCAATAGATAGAGGGGAAAGCTATGTTGCATTCTGGAATGGCAGAAGGAACTGCCATGTTCAAGTTTTTCCTGTCCATTTTTCTGACTTCTTTCAAGCTACTTCAATGAAAAACTACTGGTGAAGAATATTACTAACAAATTTAAGTTGCTAATATTAAAATGTATCTTTGATTAACAAATGCTTGTCAGAAGCTGCGAGTCTCTAGAAAGTAATCTGAATTTAATGCAGACATGGAATGTGACTAGAAAATGAAACATTTTCATAGTAGTCATAGTATTATTTGGACCTGTATGAAAATATGTCTTGATGAGAAATACCAATCCCTCCTCACAATTTTAAAGAATGTTGTATAACTTAAAGATCATAATCTGACAGATAAAACTACCTTTTATAAAGTGTTTTGGTTAATTTTAAATATATAAACTTGCAGCTGTCTACTTATATATTCTAGACAATTTATTATCTTGATAACAGTTGAAGAATGTTAATATTATAGTGTCTGACACCTGCATGTTTTCCAGTGGTTTGTTACTGCACCAGCATGAGTGTCTTTCAAATAAATAAATTAAAGGCACAATCAGCTTACTAAAAAATAATCTTTGCTGTTGCTCCAAGAACTGCAACTATGAAGAAGGCTGATACCTTGTCCTGAAATTTCTCATGTCATCCTCACAATTTACCAACTGTAAACAGATTTTGTATTGTAGAACAAGGACTTAGTTAGCTAGAAATACCTGATTTCTCTTGCAGGATAAGCTTCTGACCTCTAGTGTTTTGAATGTTGCAAGAGGAAGTCACAATATGACTTTTCTTTGAAGAGTGTGTTAGTAGAAAATGACATTGCAGGGTTCCTTTTTTGTGTTAAGTTCATTTTTGTGAATTGTTAGTTCTACGAAGTCTTAAGTTCTGAAAGGAAAACTGAAACTTATTTGCCCTTCACTAATAATGAGGATCTTGGAAGCCAGGCTTATGCCCTACATTCAGCTCCAACTGATTGAGTCAGTTTACAGCGGTATCTATGGAATAAATAGTAACAAGAGAAACACTGAAATATAATCGTATATGTAGTAACTGCCAGTATGGTATACTCTATATGATATACACTAACAGCTTTCAGCTATTTGTACAGTGCCAAACATAAGCTGGTAAATGTCACTACTTCTGCTGTTAGTTTATACTACCTTCTCCATCAAGTGGTTATTTATTTTAGATCTGCCAAGTTTGTTTCAGTCACACTAGGATTCCCTTTTAACGATGAGCTGAAAGTTAGTGTTGCAGGCATTTGAATGCAGATGACACCTTTTTGAGCATCTTGAAACCTAGGAGCTGCATTTGGTTGACGAATGAGGGAAATCTCACATTCCTCTTCACCTCTTGCTTTTTTTACTTGCCAGTTTTTTGCTGTACCTCTTGCCATACTGGTGCTGGGAAACATAACTCTTTTACTTATGTTCTCTGGAACCTCTATACAATAAATACCACAGTATTTCATATGTTACAGCATTTTTAAGGGAGTAAAGCTTGTCCCGTGTAGTGTTTCGCAGTGCATGTCTTATAATGCAAAGAAATAACATGGGGTTTTTTATTTGTCACTTGGAGACAAAGAGAAATTCCTTGTTACTAAATTAAAACTTTACATCACTAAAAATGCACAGTAACATCCCTGCACACTGCTTTATGAAATTGCACATTCAACCTCTGTGTACACTGGGTGTAAAATCCACCTGTGAAACTGTTAATTCTTCATGCTCCTCCATAGAATCACAGAATTGCCAAGGCTGGAAAAGACCTTTAGGATCATCAAGTCCAGCCTATGACCTAGCACCCCACATTGGCTAGACCATGGCACTGAGTGCCACATCCAGCCTTTTCTTGAACACATCCAGGGACAGTGCCTCCACCATTTCCTTGGGCAGCCCATTTCAATGTCTAATCACCCTCTCCGTGAGGATGTGCTTCCTAATATCCAAGCTAAACCTCCCCTGGCATAGCTTCAGGCCATGCCCTCTTGTCTTGTCATTAGCTGCCTAGGAGAAGAGCCTAAATCACACCTGACTACAATCTCCCTTCAGGTAGTTGAAGAGAGTGATCTGGCCTGTGCTATGGTTAGTGTGGAGAGGACAACTTGGTGTGAGCAACTGAAGCCCCTGTATTCACTGCAACCATATGTAAAGTGCTGGATGGTGTCTGTGAAATGCTTCTGTTCATGACAAAATTATATGTTGACAGTTAAGATATTAAATATAGCATATCTGTGTATAATGTTAAAATTTCTTTTTTGAACCAAAACAGAAAGAAGAAGGAAAAATTCAAGGACAGCTAAATAAATCTGATTCTAACCAGTACATCAGAGAACTGAAAGATCAGATAGCTGAGCTGCATCACGAGGTAAGTTATAACATACTAGTGTCTCTGATCACTTGCACCTTTTCTAACTTTTCATTTGTAGCAGGCTTTAAGTTATTACAGCTTCAGCACCTGATTTTGCCGATGTATATTACTTGAAACGAATGTAATAAAACTGATCTTATAAATTAGTATTGACCTTATTCTGGGTTGTAAGTGAACAAAAAGTTGCTCAGTTACATGATTTGACATTAAATGAGATCAGCATTTAAGTTCTATCTTGATTTCTTTAGTTGATTATATTTTATGGTTCTATTTGCTGCATTTGGAGCTGTGTGAATGAAAGTAAGCCCCTTTGTGTTTTTATTTGCTACAACTTTTTAATGATAATTTAGTTAGAAACTAAACTGCATTTATGCAAGTAGAAGTATCCATGTATACTTCTTTGTTCTTGCTGTTGTGAGGATGAATGGTAGTATACTGAGATTGCTTAAAAAGAAAAAGGATGCTTGCTTAATAACAGTTAACAGATTTTTAAGTTCTAAACTGCCAAAACCTTCAACCTATGAAATTTGTCTTCCAACTTCCTTGCCCTAATAGCTGTAGTAATTTTCTGTTACTTAAAGAGGTGAGAAAATCCTGAAACCGAATGGCTTATGTAACTACTGTCCTCACTGGCTCATTTCAGTTCATCCTGGATTATGAAGAAATGCCTTTACCTAATACTAAGTTATGTGCAAAATGCCCAGTCATCTTTGCATTGTAGTCTGCTTCTGCTTCAATATGTCTTCTAATGCATAACTCCAATAATCTTGCTTAAAACCATATCATAGAGCAATACAAACTAATTGTTTGCTTTTGTTATATAAACACATACTTTATTTAAAAGTGTAGGTAGTGTTTACATAACAATCTTAGTGTATCCAACCTTTCAGGACCAATCCCTTGAGGGTTACAACAGAGTGGAGGATCTTGGAACGCTGTCTATGCTGTAGATTGAGGATAGTCTCTAGGGCCACCAGTCCAGCACCTTTGCCAATCATTAACCTTGCTTAAAAACAAATCTAAAAAATCAGGAACCTGGTGTTGTACATTAAAAGCCTGTAACTAGCTTGCTTTGTTCCTTATGAGAAAGTAAGTTGCTTGTAGAGATACTATAAAGCCAGGTATTTTTCATATTTTGCATTACGATTAAATAAGGCACCGTACTGTCTTTACTCAGTGTAGATTTAAAAGGAAAGAAACCACTGCTTTAGAGAAAAAGTAGAATTACTGTTGGAAAACTGTTACTTTATTTTCTCTATACAAGCATATCATGTGCCTGGCTGAGCAACTCAATTGTCATGAAGGCATACAATTGTATGTTTAATGTATAAGTTCACATGAACAGGTTGGAACAAAGATGAGGCTTGTTAGCTCACAGAGCAATAATCATTCTGAGTAATACTAGTGATTCCTAAACAATTAAGTCTACACAAATCTTCATTAGCATTTCCATTTGATTGAAAGAGAGTATCAGCTAGCAAGAACATACATTTTGGCAATACAGAGTTTGAGTAATTCTGTGTAGAAGAGCAATCCTCTTCCAGATGTGTGCTTTGTTGTGGCTTAATTTTTAATTTCCAAACTAGGTAAACACTATAGGAACAAAGTATCTCACTCTAGGATAGATAGAAACAGTAGGAAGAAACTCTATGTAGTAAGTAGACAAGTTCTAACGCTAGCAGCATTTCTGAAGCTTCCTTACAGAGAGTTTCTAAAAGCCTCAAAATCCTTGTTTACTAATTACTTTTTTTCCTCTTCTCGTTATATATCTCTTTGTCTAGCTTTTAAACAAAAACTTGGGAGGGAAAGTAGTACTTAATGCACAATCCTTTATTTTGAGCATAACGCACTGAGCTAATTTTGAGGTAATATAAGGATAAATCTGAAACGTATGTAGTTTTGGAAATTGGTTGGTGCTAATAAATAATAGGTCTTGGATTACTATAACTGCTAAGTAAAGAACTTGGCTTGCAGTGTTTCCTGAATGAGCAAAATTGAAATAAACTGGCAAAAGGAAGAGGTAAAAATGTTTGTCATCAGCTGCTAAATGTTAGGATTAGTATACCTGTCCATACAAATTTAGGTAACTTTTTAATATCTGCATTGAAGTGTCTTAATGTGTAGATCCACTAATGACCATTCTCTTTACTTTTTGGCTAGCTGTTTTTTTATTCCACTTCTGCAAAAGATAAAAAGAAACGTTACAAATTTGCAAATTCATCTTCCTGAAGATAGGGTGATGGTGTATGTGACATGCTGACCACAACCTCCCAATTGGTTAACATGTAAAAGGCACTGGTAAAGGAACAGAGTTGTTGGTGACTGCATGATTACTATCTAATACATTGTAATTGCAGAACTTTAAATTGGACAATAATGCAAAAAAAAATAGTTTAAGGTGGGGTGGAATTGTGTGCATGTGAAACAAGATGAAAAGTCTTGGTATGGCCATAAAAGTTGATTCCACTTATTGAATTTTAGTATTGTTTTCTTTTTTCCAGTATTGCATTTTTACAGATGTTTATATCAGAAGAATTGCAGGTTCTCCATCTGAAAGATGGAACAAAATAATAAACAGATCCTGTATTGAGTATAAGTAACTGCAAACTAAGTCTGTATTCTAGCCTCCTGATGAATACTACTTCCTGTCTTTGGCCAGTAATCAGTGGAACCTGGAAGAGCTAGCTACTTTAGTTCTATCCCATGATATCAGCCATCAGTTGGCAATGGTACCAAGATGTGGCAACAGCACAATCCATCCTAATTGCAGAGTTCCAGTGAAAGGTCTACTGTTCCATCAGTGTTTGCAACCCAGGCTAGTAGCCAGGGACAGGGCAAACCTGGAACACCAACAGTGAACAACAGGGAATGGCAAAGAGAGTTTGACTCTTGCTGCCCAGGGTCTAAAACTGAATTCCTGCTCCCCACCCCACCGAAAGGATCAGCAAGGGGGTGGTTGTTATTGCACAGGTGTAACAGGCTGCTGCTGGGACACCTCTAGGCTTGGTAGTGGAGTGAAGTTCAACGCTCAGTTTTTGCATACTTCTCTGACCTGTTCCAGTCTGGTAACCAATTCAGCCACATATCAGAACTCTGCAAATAATTTAAGATTATTAATTTTTTTAAAAACTTTGTTTATACTTTTAAAAACTCCCAAACAATTGCCCTTTGTAATCTGAGTCCAGGAATTAGCTTTGGTCTTCCATTTCTGAGCTCAGAATTTCACATGCATCTTAAATATGGTACAGTTTTCAGCCTACAGGATGAATTTCAGCTGCTTTTATTTCTCATAGGAATAGTAATGTTACAGTCAGTCTTCAAATCATAAGAAGATTTATAGTAAATTCAAGTTGTTGTGTTCCTGTTACTAAGTAAAACTGCATATACTGGAAACTAGGAGTATGGCATCTAAAACTGACCCAAATAGGCATGTTGCTATTAAATGTACAAGGTAAATGACATAGGAAAAGATGATGCCTTTTTTCTTTTCAAAAAGGTAAACCAACTATAAATGTAATTACTATATTGGATTTTTGGTTTGTTCTAACAATATACCTTCCTGATTCCTCTTATATCTAACTAGTAGATATTGGTAGCTGAATTGTATAATGACTACTTCACAGTACATCTTAAACTTGTATTTGATGAAGACTTCAAGAGAGCAGACAAAAGCTGGAGCTTTGAGAACCTTGTAACAAGACTTATTTTATAGACTTTCACTCTAAGCACAGCATCTTGTATCTACTCACATGCGGCTCTTTCTTTGCACTAACTTGAGTAACCAATATATTGGTAAGTAACCAAAATCTAACAAATTACATTGCTATGTTAAGTGCTGAGTTAATACTTAAATTCTTCAGTGGAGCCATAACTATTCTCGGAGTTCAAATACATGTTCATCAATGACCATTAACTTGCAATTTTTACTTGAGTACATGTCAGTCATTTTCATGTTCATTCCCTAGAAAGTTAGTGACAGCTATCCTTTAATCTTTGCACAATCTATCAACATTTGAAGAACAGGTGGTGCATAATCAAAGAACAGTATTTCTAGAGAGCCAATAGACAATCTTGTGAAAAGTTTTGTGTATTTAGTGTCTGATTAGTGCTGTGCTTCCTTTCCTTCTTATTGGCCGAGTTGCTTTATTTGGCACAAAATTGTTAGATGCTTATGGCTGAAAGTATTGTGAAAACATAAAATTTTGAGGATTATCATAGGTTCAAACAGGAAGTCATGAGGTATACTTTTTCAAACTTTTAATATGCACTAGACTCAGATACTCAGCTCGTCCTTTCAGAAATCTATGTTCTATTGTTGTTTGTTCTTCTTGTTAATTGAGATTTTTCCACCAAGCATTTTCTTTCTTCCTCTGTTTGTCTTCTATTCTTAAAACTATCTCTACAGCATACTTGACTACTTCTAGCTTAGCAGGATTTTAACCTAAAATGCTTTGCTGTTGTGAAGCCCTGACAGGCTGCAGTTCTGTGAAGCAACATGGTTCCTCTTGTCAGTTAAGTACATAAGCTTGGTGACCCTGTCTTTGCACAAGAGAAACAGTCTGAGCACTGTACACTGTCACTTGACCTTAGAGTTAATGTGTGTAAACTGATGTAACATAAATGGCATGAGTAGACAGGTCCTACGAGATTTGTATCATGCATTACCTGCTCTCGGGCTGCATAGGGAGTGCTAGTACTTCATAGAAGCTCCATTTCATTAGACACTGAAATGTTAAGTGAAAGCAACTTCTGTGAAAATTTTTACTATTCAAGAGAGTACTTCAATAGGTACTACTGAAATAAAGAGGTTACTGTATGTGGAAAAGAATACGTAGAAAGTTGGGACTGTTATGAATTTCCATTAACTAAAATTGAAGGTTTAAATAAAACTGACTAAGGTAAATCTTGAACTTGTTCTTATTTCAACATAAATCACAGACTGGGGGGGGGGGAGGAAAGCTATTCTTTCTAGTTTTCTACTCCTAATTCAAACTGAA